GAACCACCGATGAAAAGCTGGCAATTAGCATGCTAGCATAAAATATAATACAAAAGCTGTATTCACCATATTTCTTTAAAGGTGGTGTAGAACTGATAGTTGAATTTTCCCGCAATGGTACGAGAGGCATCATTCTTTCGTGGATTTTGCATGAACTGCATTCCCAAAAGGTATTCTCATCCAGGTTGATGCTCAAGTATTGACCTCATTGATGTCTCATCAGCACCCACATCGGGATTCGAACCCGAGTGGGGAAGTGTTGAGTCTTAGTACGTACAGCTCTTATATCAGATCTACTGGCAGTCTAGAAAACCTAATTATGAAGTGAAAAATAAGCATGCATCCGACTACTATTGCAAATGCAAATTTTATGCATAGAAAATTCGACCACAGTAGGTTTCCCTAAAATTAACTTCTGCTCTGTAACCTAAGAGCACTCGTAGAAGCTTGGCGTGCCGAAACTGTATGCTGTACTACCCGGGTTCGAGTCACGCTGTGAGTATTGATAAGACCTGAGCATGATCGAAATTGTAGTACATCCTGGATGAAAATACGTTTTGAGAGGCAAGGCTATGCGAAATTTAATGGAAGAATGAGGCCCACTAATTTAAGTCGGAAAATTTAAGTACCAGTTATTCATTACCTCACACGAGATATAATTAGAGCCCTCATATTAGAGCCTATAAAACGAAAAGATACAGTTAAAAATGATTTTCTTGTCTAGATTGTGAATGTTGTTAACATAGAAACAAAGATTCGTGGAAAAGCTTTGGCGAGAAAAAAAACTTTTTATGAGATGGCGGAGGTCATTTGTGATAAGACGTAATCAATTAAATCCTAGGTATGAAGAGTAAGAATGTGTGGCCTTATACTTGGTCGACGTCTCCTGTAGCCTTGTAGCGCAGGTTCGAACTTATTTTCGCAACTTGGTCTCAGCGCCAGGAAGACTTTGTGGAACGTACCTAGTCCTGTGTACTCTGCAATAGAATTCGTGATTTCCAGCTTCAGACCAGTGACTTGGTACATGCCCAAATATTTTGCCGGCATTGTCAGTGAGGCTCCATCGTGACAGGTGAAGGCAATCTCATTGACCAATTTTCTGTTCAAACACTGTCCCAACTTGTCCATGTAGATAATAGCTAAGAGGTGAGAGTGTCTACGAGTTGGAGGATAATTTCAAAATGTCACTTCAGCCAACAGTAATTATGTGGTATTCAGATGACTACTTCGCAATCTGGTTGCATGGAAAAGAAAAATTGGACGATTTCCTGATCTTCATAAACGAAATGGATGAAGAAGTCAAATTTATCAAGTGTGCGGAAGAGAATGATCACTTACCTTTCTTGGATGTGGAAGCCATTCTCCCCGTGGAAACTCTCAAGAAACGACTTTCCCGAAAAAAATCGCGTGCTCACCAGCGATTGACTCAGGCCAGATACAGGGACCCTAAGAATGAGACACAATATGGGTGGAGATGAGGAAGAGGATAAGAGTCATGGGTTTGAAGCCTGTGGAGGAAGACTCCCAGATACTGGCATGGACATCTGCTCTAAATCCTCGAATATGGCGTAATTGGGGACAAGAATTGAAGGCTTTTTAGGGAGCCAGACAGTGATTTTGCGACCAATTGACAAGCGGGATAGGGGAAAGGGGGAAGATTGTAGATCAGGAGCCTTACAAACGGCACCTGATATCGGTGGTGATGATTACGTTTCACTAAATCCACTAGTAAGGACACACTCTTAAGCAACATTGGAGGAAATAAGAGGACAAAAATGTGTGAATAGGTAGATAGGCCATATGAAGTGGGGTTGAGAGAAAGAGATGCAGCCCTAGAATGTGGAACGAAAAATAGGTGCGAGGAATGATGCCACAGTAGTTGAACTGAAAATTGGTCATTGGTATTACCTTCACTTGTCACGATGGCGCCTTTCATTGACACTGCCGAAGAAATATTTGGGCATGTACCAAGTCAATGGTCCGAAGCTGGAAATCACGAATACTATTGCAGAGGACACAAGACTAGAATACGTTCCACAAGGTCTCTCTGACGCTGCGACCAAGTTGCGAAAACAAGGTCAGACCAATATTAATCAATTAGGCTTAAAACTAATATAAAATTTTAAGGGTTTTGGACGAATTTATCACTTTAAAACCAGAAAAAATTCTATCTCACTGATAAATAAATACCCAACCTGTCGCCACTTTGACTCATTAGATTCCTGGTCACCTTCCAGGGCGATTTCGTGAGCTGCTTTAAGATCCTTAAGCTGAATGGCCAAGTCAAATTTGTGATCCGGATCCGTGGTTACGCGGAGTGCTTGCTTACGAAATCCCTGGCGTTCGAGAAAATGCGCAATCTTAGTGCGCTGGTCTTTAGGGATGTTAGGAAGGAGGTTGTCAGCACAAACGAAGTCACCTCGCATTACAGCTGTTTCGTACTCGAGTACAGTGGATTGAAGGCCATAACTGATCAGATTGAGTTCGCGATCGGCCAAGTAGACGCGGTTGGCACGCGCCAGGTAG